CCCCCCCCCCCCCCCCCCCCCCTTCTTTTTTTCTCATACCTTTCTTTTATAAAGTCCTAAAAATGCGTTGAATGAATATGGTTGAGATAAAACTGCAGACACGTAGAGAGGTATGCCTGCAGATTGGATTTCATTGACAGGGACAACTTACCTCATTAGATAGGGAGGAAAGCCAGAACTTCAAGAACAAGGGAGATTGGTAGGAGCGACATGTCGATGTACATATTCCGGCCCGATGAGCTAAACAAAATCTCTATTTTAAGAAGTGATTCAACGAAGCCAATTGATCACCTTCCCAAGGACCCATTGAGAATTTTATCAAATTATTTAGGTCCAAAGAGAAGAAAACAAATTTTTTTTAGAATCATTTATCATCAATCTAGATGATACAAGTGACAAGACTCCACTGATTTATTGTGCGAGGAATCCATTCTTGCCCATTTTCGTTCATTTTTGTTGAAGAAAGAAAAAATGGCAAACATTGAATAAACACACTTGAGAATTAAAACTTATGTATTTATATTAATGTATTAAACTAAATAAAATTTAAAAAGATATTTTGGCATATTTTTCTCGTATTTTAGTTTCTTATTTAATATGTGGAATCTAACTTCGAAAAAACATGCTAATAACGAAATTAATTAGATATATACAATTAACCATACGGATATAAAACTTTAAATCAAAGTCAAGTGACAAAATCAGTGGGGAAGGAGAAAAGAGCGAAAAAGAGGCACGTGACTAAAGTCAGGTGACCTGTTTTTGATTTATACAACAATAAACTTGGAAAAGGTCAAACATTCCTCTTCTTTATTTCTTCCAACGAAATGGCAGAAATCCTTAAAAAATGTACAGTGTTGGAGCAGTTTATCAAAATTTGTAAGGATCCTTTTACATATACAACAACATCTATATAGAGGGATTACATATAATGTCATATGACGCTTTATCATTTGACATTTAAAAAACAATCAAAATTTCATCTATTCTTTTCTCTACACATCATTTTCGGTAACCGTTTATGTACCATTTTTTATGTACGAGTAGCAAAATTCAATTTGTAAATCTAGGCCTTCGTCTAATACCTTCTTCTTGGTTTCTTCGTCCCTGACTTGAGCTCAGAGAAGAAAGAGATAAGAAGGCTTTATGGAGAATGTGGTTGGAAATTCATAACGGAGTCTGATAACAACAATCAAATTGTTTATCTCCGTGCATAATGATAGTAGTTATCTAGTAGAAACGATTGAAAAATCCCCAGAAACCTACATTATTTCAAATCATGTCCCTGTCTAATTACTTGAGATGTTGAACTAAGATTTTGCATTTTTAATTTCAGGGACGGGTTCATGAGAGAAAAAAAAAAAAATTGGCTTGCTTTTGTTGTTCTTGGTTTGAGATTCCATTCCAATTCATGAACTTAAAAACCAGTTTACTAGCACGTCTGTCACAGACTTTTCCAATGTCTCTAGGAGCCAACAAACAAAGCGATATAAAAGATCGGGAAAGAGTTTTTTCTTAATAATAAAAAAGGGCCCCCTTTGGAAAAATATCACATAGCTATTTCAACTTATTATTTTTCATTACATAAAAGAATTAAACATTGCATTAGCTCATGCATCATGACAATAATTCTATCTCTCTAAATGGAAATAATTTATAAACAATTTAATTCATAGATAGATAGAAATGAACGGTAAATAAGTAGATAGTACTTATGAATCAATAGAAACTCATGTCTAAAAGTAAAATTTAACAATATGCAAATATTGTCAAATGGACACTAAAACATCAAAAGTCTGCTCAATGACTAGAAAGTGAAGGGATGATAAGTGATCGAAAGTTACATAATGCTCAACTCCATATCACTGTAGCTTGAAAATGGAATTTGAGTGATCTTTTCACCATTTGCATGAATGAAATAATTCTGTAGTTAGAGCACCTCTAATCGTGGTGTAAAATAGTTCTAAATTGTGATTTAGCTATTTGAAGTCGCTGAAACTTCTCCAATGGAGAGATAAAAAGGAAATTAAAATTGCATTTTTCAACAGAAAACGTAAAAAAAGAAAAAAAAAGATGCAAATTTATATTTTTTTTTACATCAACGAGGGGCAAAAAGTGGATTTAAATCTTTCTATTTGAGCAAAATTTAAATTTAGATCCATTGTGATATAAATGATGATGTAAAGTGGTTTTGAAAATACTAATTAACACCAAATTTTAAATCTTCATCGGAAATGCTCTTATAGTAGTTGAAGGTTTAGTTGGACTTTCTAAGTCCAACTGAATAGAAATGTTGTAATCGTTAATTGAAATGGTGATGTGATATGAAAAATCTATCCGTTTGATATGCCATATTTTTCATAGAATTGAAAATGCCATTTTCCACCTTTCGCAATGTTTGATAAGCAATATTTTCCTGACTAGTTTTTTGGCACGTGACCCTGTTTTCTACGAAAATGAGGATTTTGTATTCCTGAGAATTGGTTTTCTTGGTTGCTGCTTATTCTTTTGTTTTTTTTTTTTTGGGTAATGGAAACAAATTCTATCCCTAATTGTAAAAAAAATATTTTCCTTTAATTGATAATTTTCATGTAAAACAAAGTCAAACAAACACCAAAAGATAGATGATTTTCTTTGCTTTTTTTCTTTTGCAATCGAAATAAATTATATCCCCAATACCAATAAATTCTATCTTTTTAATTGACAATTTAATGTAAAACAAAGTCAAACGAACACCAAAAAATATTTTTATTTCAACATTTTTCACATGAAAAATTATATCAATCAAACACAAAAATTAACAATTTATAGTAAAATAATTTTTAGGTAATTCAATTCTTTGAAATTTATTTTCTTTTCACTCAAATTTCATCTTTACAATCAAACGAACCCTAAGTTCATTATTTTTTAGCAAGTCACATAGCAAGATAAAATTGTGCTTTTGAAAAACAACATAAACCATTTCTTTTTGGACTCGATTGCATAGCGTTTAGTTTTTTCTATCTTGTCAGGTTCGTCCAAATCGACATGTCTGATCTTCGGTATGCTAGTCGTCATCATTTCTAATGATGTGTGCACTAGTCCTCCCACCTTTAGTATCAAAGTGGGTCATCGTTGGACCTTCGATCAATCCTAACTGGTGAAATTTGCCATACATCCTCATATGTCCCCAGTCAAAGTGTGGTTACAAAAATTTAATATTTTTAATTGGTGCCGACGGTGTATGAATTTCTATTAGACATATCTATTATTTATTTTTATTCAGCAATTGTATTTTTGTACAAACTGTAATGATTCAGTATGAATGCTGCAATTTATTAGAAATTTCACCAAAGAGACAACTGCTTTGACATCCGCACAGAAATAGACAACTCGATTTATTTGAAAAATATTGGAAATAATTAATCCCGATAATTACATGAATTTCAAGGTAGGTAGATTCGAATCCAACAATATAATTATTTTATTTGCCAGTTTCTCCATAAGTCAATATAATTTGTTGGTGCATAGTATTGATTATCAGGTGATTAGACCATCAATATAATTTGCCAGTTTCGATTTTTGTAAAAAATGAGAACGAAAAATATAGTTATTATGAGTCCCACACAAGAGACAGAATTTTAAATTTAGTGGTTTGATGTGATGGATAATGGTCATATTGTTCATTTTAATGAAGAAAGAATGAGAAACAAACAAGGGCTTAACAGTAAACTTTATAGACCCTCTCGAAAAATATGGTAATTACATGAATACAATTTTTACTTTTAAAAATTATAAAAACCGCTCGTATTAGCAAAACAAATATACTCTTCCGTTCGTCTTCATCATGTTTTCTTAAAAAATGATTATCAAGGGATCTTTATAATTAACCAAAAGCAGTATCCATACTCTCTTGATCAGCTGTTGATTCTGCGTATCTTTCACTCTAAAAAAATGTACAAAATAAAATTAGTCCCAAATATTCACTAATCATTTTTTGTTCTAAGATTTGAGCAATTTTTGTTTATATGATTTTTATTTTATTTTATTTTATTTTGAGACATACTATTTTAAAAGAATGCTTATAAACACAACTATTTTAAGTTTGAAATATTTTGTCGTCGTGAAATTTAAATCTTCCTTTTTAAGTCTATTTGACTTTTAAAAAAAATAAAAGAAAAAAATGATAGTGTTTCACAGTTGTGTGATTTGGTCATGGCATGTGCAGCCAATGCAATTGGTTGAACATACTAATGGCCCTTTAATTAATACAATGATTAGTTTTCGCAGGTGAAGCTTCTTTTGACTTTATATACAAAATTAATTAGGTTTAATATTTGTTACTATTGCTATCTTTTTCCAAGATATGACAAGAAGATTAGATTTCCAAACTACCACTGACTTTATGCATAAAAAGTTGCTTTGAATCTTCATTGCTTTATTTTGCAAAAGAGTGGAGTATGAAAATTCGAGTATTTGGTATTCTTTACCACTATTTATATGACATGTATATTAAATAATTGAGACACACAAGTTGAATTTAAATATGGAAAAATAATATGTACATTAGTTAAATAGTGAAGGTAAGTACTAAGTTTCATATTTCGAAAGTACTAGAAAATATCTAGAAACTTAGAGTCTGTTTCGAAAGTGTTTCCAAACGATTTTAAATAATAAATTTATAAAAATAAGTTGTGGATTCTCGAAATGTGTAAATAAAAGTTGAAT